TTATGTAATATTATTCGTCCCTTAGAAACTAACATTAATTAGAAACAAAACCAAACATACATAGAAATTAGTTAGCTATTTAGTTATATATAAAGTTAGTAAAATTAGAATTAGGTAATCATATAGGCTATTGACCATGGCAAAGACTGATATCCAATCTTCACAACCTTACCATAAGTACTTAAGGATTTACTTTTATTAAAGTGATCTAAATGAGTTATGACTATTCTTGAGACAACATTAATTCAACAAAATGAGTTATTATTTTTTATTCAAGAACATGTGAGGAACTCAGAAAAGAAAAATTCAAGTATTCTGGAACACTTGCAGAGAGAGTGTAATAAGCCAATGGGGTCACATCAGTTCAATGTTGTTAGTAATGAAAAGATGAAGCATGTCTTGACATTAATGAAACTTTGATTCATATAAAAACATTCAGCACATCATAATAACAAGTGAAAACTTGATTTCACTACTAATTAATAATACATGTTTCTAATGAATAAAGCTAGGTGGTTAACTTGATATTACTAATTACTTATGAACATTAATTATATCAATTAGTGGGTGCAAGATGACCAATTAATAAAAATGATGACTGCATTGATTAACATCATGAAAACAATCAATTAATCAAAATTAGTGTTTCTGATCATTATTGTGTTCAATCAATTCAACTATCCAAGTAACTGAAATATGGCCATTATGATTTCTCATTATTATTTCCAATTAATTGAATTTTCTTCAGCTTAATAGCCACTAAACTGTAATGAACAATAAAAAAAACAGAAAACTCAATGCACATTATTTACCATGTGTCAGAGAACAGAGAACATGTACATAAATATACGAAACTTAACTCACTACTACAAACTTACTTTTTTATTCCTATTGACACATAAGAAATAGCAGCTTTCTTCTTTCACAAATGGGGGTCCCCATCGTCTTGTCTCATCTCCACCTCCTAGAGGAGGATTGATGAGATTATCAACTGTTTTCTTGCAATCTCGGAATTTAGTAGAAAAAATATAATTTAAACCTACTTTTTAGTTATTGTTAATTTCAGTGCATTTTTCTTGCACAATGTTAGGAATATACAAAGGCAATCAGAATTTAGAACATACATACATGTCATTGATGCTTTTGTTGTTGTTCTTCAAGTAGTCAGTGGTGATTTTCACCTAGTGTGCTAAAGACAGTCTATTCAAGCTGCCACAGAAAGATGCATATAATTAATAGCATTGAGAAGTACCATAAAGTACCAAAAACTTTAGAGGTCTGTGACCGGGACATCATTAGCAGGGAACTAGCCCCTGAAATATTGTTGCCCCTCCAAGTTAATGCTGGTCATTAATCTATTTTTAAATTTATTTTACATTTGGTCTCATTTTATGCCTCATTGGTCCCCTAGATACTTACCTATTCTCACAAAGAGATTTTCTCTTCTGTACTGTCTTCTATCGCTTGCCACTAGCCTTGATACTCCAACTTACCCTCATGTATGTTGGCATGAGATATCTGTATAATAACATGCAAATGATTATGCAGCAACCCTCCACTAATAGGATTGTGACACTACCCCTATCATAACTAGCACTCTCTCTAGCCTTGCAGCTGTTAATCACTTCGAGATTGGTCAGATAAAAATGAACCACAATGGAAGTGGGGAGAATGGGTGGGAAATGTGATAGGAGGTAAATATCTATCAGAAATACACTTTCAGTTTAGGAAGATGTTGACTTCTGATACAATATCTTACTTCCTCTCACAAAGAGCTACAATCCCACATTCAACAGGTGGAGGGCTAGTGAGAAGGTAATCCCCTTTAGGAAGTACCAAAAGGAAAACAATGGGTATGAGAATGAACTAAAAAATAACACACATGTGGGAAACCACACCACTTCTGAGGCAGGTATACTCTTTGCCCATTAGTAATGTGTCACCAAAAGGGTCGAAACAAAGGAGGGACCCTATAAAAAGTTAAAGAAATTAAAGGGTCCCCTAGGTACAGAGTGGCTATAGTGCAACAGATCATAATTGGGAATTCAACCTCAACCAACTGTCAAGCCGCGAGTTGGATGGAAGAGGGGCTTCTGTACCAAGAACCCATCTCTACATGTGCACACCTCCAACACAACTAACATCAGACCCACTGGAAACCAACATTTGGCAGATGGTAGGAAGGTGGAGAGCCCAGGTGGGTGTTCATTTCCCATTCAAAACCTGTTGACACTGGGAATTTTTCCTCCAGTCTGCAGAAGGAGGAGGGTACCCAACCTTGTATATGCAGGAATTCCCGTGTCTTGTCCAGCTACAATGAACATCAAATCCACTAGGAACTGACATCCAGGACTACTATTTGGGGTTGCATATCAATTCCAAAATCTGACTGCATTGGGAATTTATCATCCAGTCTGTGTTAAACATCCAAATAAATGTGAGAACATTTGTGGCTGGTCTGGCTCCAACCAACACCAGATCCACAGGAAACTGGCATCTGGTAAGACGGAGGGTGCCTCAGTTGGAGGGGCAAACTGCAATAGATGGTGGAGTGCTACATCCAACACCAGGCGGCATCTGGAATTGTATATCAGGTCCACGGTAGGAAAGGTGTCACACCATCTACTCTAGCAGAATGCCGCTGCCCTACTCTCAACTGAGTAGTATTGTGTACATTCAAGAGGACAGGCTTCCATGGTCCACCACTCCAGCAGCTAGGAATTGTAAGTGGCAAGGACTCCCATAGTCCACTAGAAGGAGAGAAAATGTGTGATGGAGAGTCCAGAGGCCACAGCACTGGAGACAGTGCAATGGGTGACCGTGATAGCCTATTTTGAAAAGAAGAGATCACACTGACAGAGTCGATCAACCAACACCTGGTGGCATCTGGAATTTTACATCAGGTCCACGGTAAGAAGAGCTTTAAACACCACTGATCATCAGAGATGGGAAGTAATCCCTGTCTGCTTTACTCATGTTAGTCTATGATGTACAACCTAGGACAAACATATTTATGAAGCAAATACCATGAGATATACCTACTAGCAGTATTGTGGAACACCCCATCTCAATGGTGGGCACAATATGGCATCTGAAATTGTACATCAGATCTGCAGTAGGAAGAGCCTCAATGCCACAAATCATCTGAGACGTTATATGAGCACAAGTTTTACAGTGCGAATTTAAGACTAAATATAATTGGTCAGGCAAAACTCGCCACAGAATGGGATCCAAACATGCAAGAAAGGAAATGAATCGAGTACTTACCACTTATTGAGAAACAAAGGTGTAAAGTTATATGAAGTGATCCACATATCTGCACTAATGATGTCATCCAAAGGAAGATGGAAATGCACAGCCAAGGACATGGTAAGGCAATGGATCTGCTGGGAAGAAAAATGAAAGAGACAACAATTGTCAGGAGAAAAGGGAAGACTACACCAGGTGAATCAACTGGCAAATCCAACATGTAAGGGTAATAGGAGAAAAGTCACAGAAAGGGGTAGGAGTCCAAGGAATAAACAAATGGAAATGGGAACCATGTCATATACTATCAGAGAACCCTGACCTTGCAAAGGAGGCAGTCAGGATCAGAATGGTTATAAAGGTGAGATATGGAAGGAATGGAAATGGGTGTAAATGCAGAATTACCCTATCGAGCAGCCAAAGTTTTGGGCATAAAGTAACAATCTTGAAAGAGGAGAATGTAGAAACTATGCAATAAAAATGCAGCAGACATCAATCATGAACACAACTGAACTACAACATTTACATGCAAGTAGAAGCAAGAAAAGGGACTTCAAAGAAGGAAATATAATGAACACAAAGATAAAGATTTGAAAGGAAGATGGGTAAAAGCATGTAAAACCACAATGAAATTCCAATCAGGGAGTGAAGCAGGGCAAGTAGAATGGGAAGTGCAAAAGGAACAAAACAACATGGACAAGAAGACACAAGCCAATTTGCAAACCTAAAATGTGGCTGATAAATCCACTTGATAGCCTATAACAGAGGAAACCAAAAGGCCACTGTCAAAAAACCAAGTCAAAAATGGACGTGATGTGAGGAACATTAGGATGGGAAGAACGATAACCACGTTAATCAAACTTTCAGCAGCATGTGTACCAATGATGTTAGTAAACCACCATGGAGGAAGGACAGAAGTTAAGGAAGCCACACAATGTGAAAACTTGACCATGCATTAATACACTGTGTGGGAATGGGTGGATAATACATGCCTGACTTGGGCTGATGTAGGAGTATCAGAAATAAAGGAAAAGGATGACACCAAAAGCCAGCACAGCAGTGGAAACCAAGTTTGAGCCAGCCACTAAAGAGCCACCATGGAGTGGTCTGAATTATAACAAGGACACATGGAAGAAGACAAATAGGAAGATATGCTTATAGGTACCAACCTGTTAAATCCAGATAGAGAGCACCTACTGCTCCAGCCAAAGGATGAGGAACAGGAGATCACAATTTGGGAAGCTATGTATTGAAATGAGTGCCAAGAGCATTCAAATCTGGGACACCCTACTGAGCACTCAACCCCTGAAAAACTTGAGGATCCAAAAACCGCTCCATAGGTAGAATCTTATCGGGATGGGATACCTAAATCATGGCAAGAGTCAGGGCACCTGGAAGAAGACATGCCTACAAAGTAATGTGATGGTTGTGGGCCCAATAGAAACAGAGGCCTCTTGACTGAGTGCCTCCTAGCCTGGAGATGTATAAGACTACTGTAGAATTTTTGGAGTGCGGCATCACCAACTGGTCCTGAAGAGCCCAAAGGAAGTGAAGTAAAGCTTGACAAGATTGAATGGAAAGGGGGCATGGAAAGAGTTCATCTCCTCCAAACCTACTGAAAGTCAAGATATGCTCCCCAACTGGAAAACATCCATAAAGGAGACATTCCAGACAAGAAGGGGGAAGAGTAACACCCACAGTAGAGCTGTCCCAATCCAACCACCAGGCAGAGTCTATCCAGTATCCCATCATGTGGGGAACAGCAAACAAACATGAAGAAAACTCAGGACAAGAAGGACCACCTCAATAAGTGGCACATTGTGAAGTAAATATCAAGCTGCCTCGGAAAGATGCTGCATGAAATGGGATCCGGTAATGAAATTGGAGGACCAGACTCTTAGAACCCAAGTATTCACAGAAAAGGACCTCCAAACGTGAGCAAAGTGAAGAAGTCTGGCCTTGAGCCTAGATCATAGGGTATACTGATGGTGAGTTTCAGAAGCCCAAGAAACTGGAACCTGCAAGGAAAAAGGTAACCGAATAATTGTGATCTGATTCCCACAAAGGGATAACCAACTCCAAATGCTGAGAGGCTAAATAAGGAAGTCAGAACGATGGTAAGCAAAATCGTCCATAGTATGTGTGTGTGGGTGGGGGGGGGGGGGTCGAGGTATACTGACCCCTTAGTGCAGTTGCTCCCCCAAAACAATCCACATGAACCCTCTGGAGAAGGTGAAAATAATATATGACCCAAAGGCTTGTCCCAGAGTAGGGCAGGAATGGAACCATAGGAAACAGGAGATAAGAACAGAACATACCTGATTAATCAAGTCGTAATGGTGAAAGAGACATGTTCAATACCCCCCGAAATGGCACGTGACTGATAGGGACATTCAGGAGGGGAAAAAAGCTGTCCAAATCTGCCTCTTCCCAAACAATCAAACCTTGAGCAGGTATGATAGGACCATCTACAGTTTGTTCTGAATGTTGCATGAAATTAACCAATTCTTGATGCACCATAGCCATCACTTCATGTGCCATCAACCTTGGTTCCAACCCCGTGTATGTGGTCGGGAAATCCACTGAAGGAGCAACAGCAGTTGAAGTCACTCACACAAGAAGTCAAAGACAGTACATGAACTAGTGTTCATAGTTTGAAGAAAAAAGAAGGAAATTAAGTTCCCTCAATATTATAAATCTCGTTAAACTGACAAAGAAAAAAAACAAGTCTGGTGTGTTTTTTGCTGAGGAATAGAATGAAAATCATGAGTGCAAATGCATAGAGGAAGCTAGTGCTTGTGGAAGTTGTGTCACCCTCCTACTGGTGAAGGGCTTTTGCTGCATAATAGCATCATTATGCAGTAGCGCAAATCATGAGAAATCTCATGAGTTTAAGTGGGAGTTGCCTAAAGGCTAGTGGTATGCAAATAACTAAGACAGGAAAGATAGCTTTCTTTGTGCTAAGGTGTGTATTGCTTTAGAAACCAAAGATCCAATAGAATTGAGTGCACCATGTCAAAAGTAAGTACTCATACTGTGTTTATGAATTAATAAAGACTGTTTATGTTTTCTTGTATTTTACATTGTGTCCAGTCTGTTTATTTCATTCTCATGACTCGGTTACTCAGAGATAAAGCAGTACTCCATTAATCACTATCTTGACCAAATGGACATACCCCATCACTCTGAAATTAATTTAGTTTTACCGGGATAGACCACAGAGTGTGGTATATGAATTTACCATGCATTACGATCTTCTTTTAATATAGTATTTGATCTGAATTTCTCATTTATTCTGTACATGTGCAAGTTTTGCATGTGGTCAAGAAAGCCATTAAACTGAGTATGTTCTAGTTTCCTTTGTTCCTTTATCATTTTCAAATATATAATATTTTTCTCCTCATGGGAGTATTGCTGCATGTAATACTGAATGTTGTGCACGGATAATCAATAGAAGTTCCTCCAAAGGTAGGTCAGGTGATATCTCAAGGTTATGATTTTCCTTATGTTTAAATTAAATGGACCAATAGGTGATGCATGTGTCCTGAGAATACACTACTATAGATATTTTAGTATATAATACTATGATCTTTTAGTTAGCTCTCTCCCCTCTCAAGCTCAAGCCCTCAGTTTAATAAGTGAAGTTTTAGTTCTTCCTTTGTAACTAGCATTGCCTTACTTATATTTAAATGAAAATATTCAGTCACGTGAATATAGTACTAGTCACTCTAGGTAAATACTACATTTCTTGAGAACTAAGAAATGTTGAATTTATTCAGTCTAATTCTTATTAAATATCTTTAAAAGTTGTTTAGGAGATTACAAATAGTTAACTATATAGTAAAGGAATAATTCAGAAAGAAGGTAATAAAAGATAAATAAACAGTTTCAAACAAAAGTATTTCATGCAACATTTATATAGTAAAGGCAACGTCTTTCATCCTGTGCACATTATTTTTATTGTGCTCTTGAGTGTAAATAAAGACTGTTTTCATTGTGTTTTACATTGTGTCTTAGTCTTTCTTTTTCAAACTCAGCCACATTAAGAGAACTGCATAAAAATATCTTGTTGAATATCCTGTTATTCTGTGCTGTCCATTGCTCTAAGATGAACTCATTTTTATCATCTGAATATGTCATATGTTCATGAAGTTCTTAAATGAATTGTATATAATAGAGCAGATATAGATGTCTCTATTCAACAAAAGCATGTTCATGAAACATACAGGTAATCAAGAAAATATTAAGACAAGAACATATGCAGTTGGCTATATTTATAAACAGGCAGTATTTGCACAGCTGTATGCAAAAGAAGCGCAAGGACACAAGTCTGTAAAGAAAACAAATGGAAATATACACAAGGCTGACAATGCAGAGAAAGATAAGACTACAATTTTTTTTAATTACGTTAATCATACTGTTTAATTAAGAAAACTTAGAATCAACTCGTTCTCAAATAATTATAAATATTGGTAAAGTTCATGCCAGTGTAAGCATGAACGGTAGTATTACTGAAATATTAAATCCACAATGAAAAGAAGCATAACTATATTTTGAATGAATTACAATTTTAAAATATTTTTAAACAAGAAATTTGCTACAAGCTAAACTTCTGGGGATGATTACATGCATGTAAGGTAGTAGCTAGTGACTTGTAATTCTCACATTTGTTATACACAAACCTGAGAGTTCAAATTCAATGTTCAGCAAAATATTAGTAAAGATTTAGAATTGCTACAATTTTGCTAATTAAAACTGAAACCATAGTAAATATGTGCCAATGAAGAATAAAGGGCCAGTGCTTCATTTAGAAGAATTATATAGGTGTCCATCATGTGTACAATTGTATCATGATAATGTACAAAGGTAAAACAGGTATTATAATTACTGCTTTAATCTTAGATCAGTGAAAAAGGAGAAAGCTTGTTGAAAGGTTTCTCAATCACTCAAAAATATTGCTTTAACTGAATGTTCAGAGGCTCATTCCATTGGACTGATCTCATAATGGAGACAGAATATTGACTAGAATTCTAAATTTACTGTGTGTATCTCCACAAAATGTGGCAAGCTTTTAGTAAAATGTACATCACTGTACACAAAACATCTGAAGTTTCAAAGGTATTTCTACTCATGTGAATGAATGTTAGTCTGACAAACTCTGATATGTTGGAGTGTGAGAGCATGTTCATGTGAAGAATAAAAATAAGTTTTCCCATTGGATAGTTGCATATCACATTTGTATAACCTCTATAACCTGCAATTTATTTATATATATATATATAGTATTCCTTTATACCATATCTGTTAGTTACTATCTTCTAGCATGAACTGTTGCTAAATTTACATTGTAGGGTAAAATGCATAGTTTATAACTGACATCAAATACATATTGCCATATTGAATGAAACTCTGTAAAAGGTTGTGGCATGTGTATTTTGACCCCATGTGTATAAGGTTAAAGCTGCTGAGCCTGCTTTCAGAATGGTAAATTTCAGTAATTTTTAAGATATTTATTTGCAATTGGAACTACCGCTGCATGTGTGACATAAATGAAGATGTTAGGTCAGTAAATTTGTACCTATTGCTCTACATGTGAAGTGAAGCAGCCTAAAGCTGATATTAGAAAATTATCAGATATACAATTCCATTTGTGTATTTTACATGGTACATTTATACTTATATATAGTCTTCACAGTACTACCTGCTGCTTCTACTTCAGTTATATTGCCAAATAATATAATGCTGGAATTAATATTTTAGACTGAATATAAAATAATGAAACTTGACTTTACTATTGGCTAGAAAATTAAATTCTATCTCTTAAATCTCATAATTCTTCATATATGTTGACATTAATATCAAAGTAGCAGAAATCATTCAGAGCATGACAACATATACTGTACTGAAAAAAGGTTGCTATTTTGAGAAGACTATAATGTTCAAGACTTTAAAATTTTTATACGTTATTTTTGATAGACACCACTTGTACCTCAAAACTCTAGCCTGCAATAAACTAACATATGATAAAAAATATGTCTGTATATTTACATGCACTAACTTACAGATTTTTAACCAAATCTAGAGGAAAACAAGGTAGAAGATATTAAACCGATCCTTATTAAAAACATTTATCTAATTCTAAGCCAATGAACATAAAATTTGCCAAGTTAAGATATGTATAATTTCTATCATTTGGGAGTAAATTATGTTATCCTTATACACAGTATGTGTGTGTGTTTACTTATTAGTATCGCAAACACCTAAGATATCTATTTATTGAAAAACATATTCAAATATTTACAAACACAAATAATGTATAGACATGAAATTAATAAACTACATAGATTCCAGAAAACCTAGTTACCATGTGCCTTTTATAAATATGATTATTGAAAAAACAAGATAATGTTTTCAATGTATTTAAAAACATTACAATTTTTACATGGAGTTTCATAATTGAGTAAGTATCTTTAATTAAACAATTTCATGAACACGTGGAAGAAGACAAACCTGGGTGTTCAATTTTTATGACTTCAGCTCCTAGGTCACCAAGTATCATTGTACAAAAAGGACCAGCCAAGATTCTAGTCAGATAGAAGAAATTACTTTTATGAATATATGTGTGTTTGAAATGTTTATTACAATTACCAGTATCCTTAACAACATTTTAAAAGTTTGAAATTTTCCTGTGGAATTCTATGTACTTATGAGCATAATCCTTCTATTAAATTAAACTTTAGATAATTTACAAGCATAGGGAAACACCTTTTCTTACTGAATAAATGAGGTGACAATCAATCACTTTATGAATATAAATTTTTCACACAATGTTAAAATTTTTCTTACACTGAAAATGTATTTCCAATAGCTCCTTACCTCTACTCACACAAAGCTATCTTGATCTTCTTATGCCCTCTAATCACTGTTAAAAATATTTTGTGGTCAGTGCACTATATATACCCTCATCAATTTCGTGCCATTTCTGAACATGTACATATCATGTGACTACTCTCCACCAATAGTACTGTGCCACCTATATTAGTGCAGCTAGCTCCCTCTGCTATTCCCACTCAATCTTCACTTTTGAGAATTGGCAGGCTCCAAAAGAATAACAGTGGTGAGGAAGGGTGAGAAGTATGTTAAGAGAGGTAAGTACCTATGGAAATACATTTTCAGTGTAAGAAAAATGTTAACTTCCAATACGGTCTTACCACATCTCACACAAAGCTAGAATCCCACACTGCAAAGGTGAAGGAGCTGGAGTAGATGCACAATACTGAAGCCAATTGGAAAGTGACCACCCAGAATGAATAGATGTGCTCTGATATGAAAATGAAGCACACTTGTGAGGTACCACACTATTTCTGGAACAGGTATTCTCTTCACCCTTGAAGTAGGAAATTAATCTGATAAGGGTGAAAAAAAGGATATGCACAAAGCAATTTGTTCTGAAGGGTGCCACTTATAGTAAAATACATACAGAATTAGCTATGTACATTCACAACCTCAACTGGACAGACAAGGTTCCATAATTTATCCTCAGCATTAGAAGGTTGAGGATAAATATATTGCAATATAATGTAACATATGGGAGATGGAAGGTAAGGAACTGGATGTTAAAGCCAAATAGCCTTCACAGGCAATATGGTTCCATCTGTATGTTGTGAGAAACCCAGGTTTGTACAGGTTTTGTAGGTAGTAGTACTGTGGTAGATCTATAACAGTTGGTGAATGTGTCTATCACCAAAAAAATGTAGCTGAAATTACTTTAAAAACAATGCCATTGTTAATATATTTGGAAACAGTGTGGAACAGTTCAATAAATTTAAAGTAATTCAAATAAAGGTTAAATTATTTCAAATTTTTAATAACCACTCGTTTTCAGTTTGTAAATCTAGTCACACTAAGAATATGCCAAAAAATTGGCCTACTGAAAAAGTGAGTTACACAACAAACATGGAAAACATTCCATAAACCTAAAAAATAATATGGCTGATAAGAACTAACATTCAATTAATGTTTCAAATAAAACACTAGAAACCTAGAATTTGCACATATGGAATTTGAAAAAAAAATATTGATAGTTAAAAAATTTTCCAAACTGTTAATTTTAAAGAATTAACTAAAAGTGTCTACAGATCAATCTAACTGCTATACAGAAACAATATAAGGTACTGTACCTAGTTAAGTCAATAATTCTCACACCAGAAAGAGGTCCCTTAGTTTCAGTTTTGGCAATATCTATAATGAAAACCATGTAAATATCCATATTAAAATATTGAATAAATAGCAACCACCAATGCACAATGGTGAAAAATGCAAAGTAATTTTTCAGTGTGGTATATTACATCAACTGCTGTTCTTCATTTGTACAAGATATATATGTAAAAAAAATTGGAGGGAATGTATATACACATTCTCTACAAACAATTAAAAAGCTTCTTAAAATTATTATAATAAATGTCACTTAATGTACAATAGAAAGCCAGATTAATTATTACAAATCAATTACATCAACTTTAATGTATACAATAAATGTAAAATAAACTGAAACAGAATAAATATTCATCTTCACAACCACAAATAAAGCTGAAATTACCTTTAATGCCTTATGACATTATATATATATATAGTATATTCTGTAACGTTTTTTGATCATGATGTAAACATGTGTAAAAATAGAAAAGTACATCTGTAGTAACAAGTATCTGCTTTGCTTAAACAGGGAAGCACATTGTTGAACTAATATTTTAAGCTCAACCAAAAAGAGAATTAAAATTGTACAATATTAATTTTCTGTAGATATTTTCACTACTGTTGTATATACAGGTGAAATTGAATGAAAGTTATAATTTTCCTAAATGTATGCAAACTTTTTCAGAACCACATGCCACAAGCCTTCATCATTCCTCTGTTGGAATCTAAAGTTCTAACACGTCTCTCATGCAAATCATCATGCTTCACCTCTTCACCAATAGGAGAGCACTACTATCACGTGACACAAGTGACTCCCTCTATGCACCACTATCCACTATCATTTTGAAGTTTGGCAGCAGATGCAAGCACGGGAAGATTGTGGGGAGGATGGGTGGGAAATGTGAAAGGAGGGAAGTACCTATCGGAAATACATTTTCATTTAGGTATTCTCCTCCTGCTCACAAGATTAGCTTGATGCCCACATTGAAATGGTGGATGGACCAGTGTGAGAAAAGCATCTGGATGACACCCATGAAATGAGAACAGCAGATCAGATGCTCTGAGGAAGGGCACCACACCAAATCTGAGTCAAGTATCTCTTTGCTGGAAACATTGATATGATCAGGAGGGCCAGACAAAGCAGAACATTAAAGGGAGTACATCCGCATGGGAAAGGATAGTTTAGCGATGTGATCTTAAACAAAAATCATAATCACTCAATCCCATGATGGAAAGTGGGCAAGTGAGGATGTTTCACATGGTGTAGAGTGGATAGGGCATGACAGACTATACTCAGTAAGTCAACTATATCTAAAATCTCACTCACTGAGTACTGACATCCTTGTGAGGGTAAAACGAGGATCATACCATCTTCACTCAAGTCCCAGAGTCAAGAGGGAACCTAACATTCGACTCCAAGAACTTACAGGTTAGCCTAATACCAGGGATCCGGGAATGTGTCATCCAGACTCTGATGGAAGTTTATCACATGCATGAAACCAGCCCGAAACAACCCCAGGATGGTAACAACCTCATCACCCAACAAGGGAAACTCAGGACACAAGCAGAAACAGGTCACATAGACCTTCTGCAACCCACAACACAGAGAACACGTTGATAGGGGAATGTGGACAACTCGAAACCTGTGGGAGGACTTATGTGATTGGTTCACTCAATCTTCAAAACCTCACTTGCTGGGTACTGACATCCACATAAAGGTAGGAGGAGAGCACACAATCAGAGAGGTGAACTGCATTTGGGCATGGCATCTGAGCTCCAGGAATTAGTTACTCATCTGGAGGATCTTGTAACTCCCTCTACTCCAGCAGAACATCACCACCCTACTCTGAACTGAATGGTTATAGCCACCTTTGTGGAACCTATCCAGCAGGTTGCCTCCATGGTTAACCACCCCAGTGGCTTGTAACTGGTAAGTGGTAAGGACTCCCATATACTCCACTGGAAGAAATGGGGAAAAGTGATGGAGATTCTGGAGGGACTGCAACACATGAGACAGTGCAATGGTTGATCACAAAACCCTATCTTTAAAAGCAGACCACACCAATTTATTCCATCTGTACATGGCAGGGATGGGCAGCAATCCCCTTCTGTTTTACACATACTATCCATAGGTGGTATGGTTAGGGATGGGCATATTATGACACAATTATCATGAGGAATTTACACTAGTAATTTTTTGAAACACATCATCTGAAGGATGAGCATACATAGCCATGGAAAATGTATAAGAATCAACATGGCTTACAGTATGGATTTGATAGCAAGATGTCTGCAAATGGTTATAGCCACCTAAGTGGAACCCATTCCAAGTACAGACAGAATACCTGGTCAGGCTCCACTTGCTACAGAGCAGGATCCAAAGTGAAGCTGAAGCAGGGGCCCCTGAAAGAAAAGAAAGCATCGGTAAGGACTCACCTCACATCACAGCCATGCCAAAGTCTGTAGAATAGCCACAAGTGACAAGCGATACCCCTAGGAAGCAGAAACAGCAATGTGGTGAAGGAAGTAGGAGATGAATGTGTGTGGAGTCATTCACATGCCCAATCGTAGAATCTCATCCAATGGCCAACGAAGATGAAAGGCAAGGGAGAATGTAAGGTGACGGATTTGATGTGAGGAAACGTGAAAGAAATCATGCTGGGAAGGAGACAAGGGGGAATAAGCTAACTGGATCAAACATTGAACCCAATTGGTCAGAGCATCTGTGGAAATATCACAGGAAGAGGAAAGTCGACAAGGTATAAAAAGGCAGGAATGAGGACCCCAGAAGGAAGCCATGTGAGCACTATAACAGCAGAGGGCATGAACAGGACAGAGGAGTCTATCTGGATCAGGACAAGGGTAGAAATGAGGTATAGAGAATAGACAGATAGGAGAAAAGGAGGACTGACCATCTCGAGCCACAGAAGTATTAGGAAAAAAGCACAATCCAGATAAAGGATAAGGTAGGAGGAGTGGCAAAAGGTCCTGATAATGTCTAGGGTGAAAATATCCGATCTATGATGCCCACAGGCTAGGAGGAGGAGGAAATATTCCTTTAAAGAGAGGTGAAACAGAGAACACATAGAGAGAGGTTCGAATGGAGGTAAAGTGAGTGCATGATGGGCCATGTTAATGATCTAGACAGGGAGCAAGACACCTTGGTGGCTGATGGAGCCAGAAGAAATGGATCAACATGAAAAGGATGGGAAGCAAAGACCCTGTAAAAATGGGAAAAATGAGAGATATAGGATAACACTGCTCAAAACCCTAAAATCAAAGAGCCACATGAGAAACTCGGAGATACAGGCAACTGTTGGGTGACAGGCCCAGAAACCCCAAGTGTGATATACACCTCACTTGTGTTGATAGATGGCCAAAGAAGAAGGGCGATTGCAATTGGCTAAATGTAATGCTACTCTGTGAATAAAAAACAGAATTCCTTGCCATGGACCTGACAAAAGCCAGTTGTGAAGATGGAGGACAGACAGCACAGGTGATTGGAGTTGAGGGAGCAGGTCGAGATGGAAGGAAAGAGGAGGGACCACCTGCAGTTGGAGCAACCAAGTGAACCAAGGTTCAAGGGCGAGTAAGGAGCAATCAGAAGGACTTTGCATGGAGTGGCATAGATAAGGGAGACCACTTGATGAAGTAAATGGATGGAAAGGTAAACATAAAGGAATAGATGAAACTAATCCTGGCTGAAGGCATCAACAGCCAAGGCTTGGGGATGGGGAACTGGGGACCAAAACCAAGGTAATTTGTGATTGAGGGTGGTGGCAAAGGCATCAATATGGGGTGTACCCAGATGC